AAGTTTACTTTCTATTTATGAGATTGAATATCCCATTTGATATTTTTTGCCTCTCTTTTAATGTCACAACAGCGATGCTTGAATCTTATACCTAACACAAATGTTAATACGCAGACAAAACCGGACTAAAAGTAAAGCTTATCCCAGACAAGGAAACAGCGATATGCATGAGAGAATTACATTCGTTGTTTTAGAATTAGTTTGAAATGTACAATGTTACAGTTGAATAGAACGATATCCATATTGTCAAGCCAATAACGAAATACTGCTTAAATGAAATGTCAAATGAATTATTCTTTACAATAAAAAGTAAAATCACAAAAATACTGAACTCCGAGGAAAATTCTAAAAGGAAAGTCCCTAATCAAATGGCAAAATCAAAAGTTCAAACACATCAAACAAATGGATGACAACTGTCATATTCCTGACTTGGTACAGGCATTTTCTTATGTAGAAAATGGTGGATTGAACCTGGGTTTATAGCTAGCTAAACCTCTCACGTATATGACAGTCGCATCAAATTTCATTATATTGATAACGATGCGTGAACAAAACAAACAGACACAATAGGTAAAAATGTCAAAAATAGGGGTACAGCAGTCAACATTGTGTTATCATCTTAATCACTAAAAAAACAAACAAATGTAACGAAGAAGCACAAAAAGGCATACGTCAAATTTAACATCCTCATTTTGCTTTTTTATTATACGATTTTATTTATCTATGTAAAATCCACCCATAAAGGATGAAAGGTTTTAAGTACTTGCGTAAAATCGCGCGTTTGAAATTCGCACAAGGTAGACATAAAATAATTTTGTCGTTCAAGCATGACGGGATACATAAGTAGAGAGTCACGCCAATGGATATCACAAAAAAACAGACTTAACAGCAAAAGTAATATTAATTAATAAAATAATTTTCTTGTTCAAAGTATGACGGGATACATAAGTACAGAGTCACGTCAAATGTATATCACAAAAGACAGACTTAACAGTAAAAGTAAAATTAATAAATAAAATAATTTTGTCTTTCAAAGTATGACGGGATACATAAGTATAGAGTCAGTTCAAATGGATATCTCAAAAGAAACAGACTTAACAGTAAAAGTAATATTATTAAAGACAAATAAAAGAATACTATAACACGTTATTAAGATGATAAACAACGTCAGTACGCAGAATCTATACTTCAAGACCATCCTGTATTATTTGTGAAGTTGAGACGGAATATTTATCCACAAGGTCTTGGTTCCTTCCGATGAACTATTTTAGAAAAAGGACGACACGTTCTTTGACATACCCCTGGTTCATCAACTTTCTGCTCAGACACTGGTGACGTTTTACAAAGTCTGAGTACGAGCTGCAAGCTCTTGAATACCGAATAAGTTGGGAGATGTATACCCCATATGCAGGTGAAGTTGGTATATTGCTACTAAGGTGGGGGAAATTGATAATTTCAAAATTTAAATCGTCTCGTTTGTCATAGATTCTAGGACTGAGATGACTGTGTATGTCAAATTCGAGGTATAAGTCTAAAAATCTCAAATTAAAAAATAAATGTATGCATTACTGTCAAACATTAATTTGGTAACTTGTCTTGAAGTTATGGTAACACTTCTGACACGCACATACCAAATTGAACTTAAAATGAAATATTTTTTACCCTTCTTTACAAAATTGGAACTTGATTTAACTGAGCTATTGCTTGAACATTCTTTCTGAAATGTTTTTTTTTCAGTGAATCAACACATAAAATGTCGACATATTTGTCAATTTGAAAAAAAATGTAACCAAGTAAATTTGACAAAATTGCTTGTTTGAATACTTTTGTTTTCTTTTAATAATATACTCCAGTGTTACTAAGTATTGAGACCAGGTCAGCAGCATGTTTTTTGTTGTTTTCAGCTTGAAAGTGTTTATCATTTTTTTTAAAATTTTGGTTTTAAATACGAAATTGATTTTTTAAGATTTTTTCAATATCTTAATTCAACATATATGATATTCTTTTTTCTTTTTCTAGATAGTTATGATAACTCACCAAAACCAGGTAAGACTTTGCTTATATAGATTGTCTATCATCCATGTCATTTGGTCTCTTTTGGAGAGTTGTCTCATGGGCAATGCTACCACATCTTCCGATTTTTATATCTTAATATAAATGCTTCATGATAATTTTTTTTTTAATTTTTCTTTAGTCCATGTTTATGTCTATGTATCAAATATACGAAAATGTAGATTTGATATATATTTTTATAAGATGTCCATTAGAGATGAATTTTATCTATTTTACTTTGTTTATTTGATGTTAATACAGAACATGTATAAAGGTTAAGATTGAACACGAATGCGGCCACTACCATTTTAAACAAAAACCATCTGAAAAAGGATGGTTTATGGCATATCTGATAGATTTTTTATATAAGGTTGAATTTGAGCGTCTTTCATGACTAAATCAGTTTAAATCTTTTACATATTATAATTGAATCGACTGAAGTAGACACTCAAATGTTTCAAAAAAAACAAAAATTCTTTCATTAGATGTACTTTGAATCTTGAGACTTGACCTCAGCAAGGAATACCACGTGCCTCTAAAGATAAATGAATGGAGGCCATCAATATCCTTCCTAAATTTATGACATTGTTGATTTAGATTCAGGACGGTATCGTCGCTAACGTGTATGTCATTTTTGTACCGTAGCTGCGTTTATGTCAGTTTATATCTTTGATTTGAGTCTTTAAGTTTTTATGTAGTGTTTTATTTTTGTTTGATCTAGCTTAAGGTCAAGTTAGAGTAAATGGGCTATATCACAGATTTTGGTAAAATTTTGCATACCGCTTTGTCTCGATAAACACACAGCTCTCACAAACATATTTAACCATGCCACATCTTTATATACTAAAAAGTACCTTTCCCACGTCAGCTGGAACCTGCTAGAAAATAATGTGACATCAAAGAAAAAATTATTGGACGTAGACTGTTGGTTGATTGTCGATGGGGATAACACATGTTAATCATGACCAAAGCCAAACATAATAAACAATAATACTTTATATCATTTTAGAACAAAATTGTCGAATGGATCAGCAGGGAAGAAATTACACTGGAACAATCAGCAAAACAAGACTTGGAAATACATGTCAACCATGGTCATCGTTAATTCCACACAAGCATCGATTCTCGGTTAAAATGGAGGACCATGAAAATTACTGCAGGAATCCAGACAATGAAGAATATGGTCCATGGTGTTATACAACTGACCCAGATGTTAGATGGGAATTTTGTGATATACCTTATTGTGGTGTGTTAATTTTTTTTACATCTCCCTTATTTGCGAATTATCTAAAAAAAAGATAGAGAGTTGTGTTAGTTTCGTATGATAATAGCTTCACATTACATATTAATATTTTGCATCATTTTGAATAAAAAGGTCATATTCAAACATGGATATCAACGTTTTAGTTAAATATATCAATTTTTATTTTAATCCATAAAGTTCTTTAGTTATTTATAAATAAGTTGTTTCGCGTACTAAACTTTGAAATGGTTTGAAATTTTATAGTAAAGGCTTGTTTTGACTTTATGAAAATGATTATTCCGAACGATAAAATATGTAAGACATGTCTATGGCATGCCAGAAATTCAATGAGGATAATGCTTATTAAAATGAGTGATTTTACTCTAAGTGAAGGGTTTAGCTAGCTCTAAAACCAGGTTTAATCCACCATTTTCTACATAAGAAATGCCTGTACCAAGTTAGGAATATGACAGTTGTTTTCGATTCGTTTGATGTGTTTGAGCTTTTGATTTTACCATTTGATAAGGGAATTTCCGTTTTTAATTTTTCTCGGAGTTCAGTATTTTTGTGATTTTACTTTTTAGTAAAGACGTCAAGCAATTTAAGTCAACTGAAATAAATGATATGTTGGCATATACATTTATTACAGAAGGAGCAGACAATCCAGGTGAGATGATATTCTTACGATTTAGTCGACATATTGACACTTCATTACCCTATTTGGAATGTTGAATTAAGCTTATGTCAAAATATGGTTGCAGATGCATTATTCCGGGCAGTTACGCCATAATATCTTTTTATAAATAATGTCTACCATTTCATCGCTATAATATAGTCTAAAAGATTATAAAATTATATTGCAAATGTCTGCTATAGAATTGCCGGTTGTCGTTATAGTAAAATAAAAAAAAAAAAAAAACAGTAGCAGATATCTTTAACAATATATATATATATAAGCTCAGTATGTATATCATAATATTTGTAACTACACTAAATGAAAACAAGCCAGCACCGTTGATATTAGCAATACGGATTTGTTGATATGAAACTCTACTAAAGAGATATCGCCGTCATTGATGGTCTTACCAATATCGTTGACTAATACATATTCTCCATTTTTGGTATTTTTCATTTTATTCATATAGTTCTTTTGATCTATTTATCTACGGATATACTTTTGACCTGAAATGTTAGAACACAACTATTTTTAATATTAAAGGAGGAGGTCATGTAAGGGCCAATTTTGGCCTCAAACTTCAAAACTGCTATATTTTGGGGCCAAAAAAGGGTCTTACTGGACCTACTCCTTTGGTTGAAAGATCAGTTTCATTTATCATATTAACAATCAATTACGTCTTAAAGTTTTTAATTCATAAAAAAGACTTTAGAGATAAGTGTTTACCATACACTGTTCACTGTATCAAATAGTTGATTAGATTCAGATTAACCAAATCTATGATCAAACGGAAAGTGACTGAAAATAATTGATGAACTACACGTATGGCATGAACATGACAAGCACCAAACAGTAAAAAGTACATATTAACAAGTATTAGTCCAGATTTACCTGACGATTTATTGATATGAAAAAAAACCTAACATTAAATTCGTGATAAACTATATCAGATTCGTTTTGTCAACATCTTACTTCATTTTACTGCAATAATTAAGGAAAAGCACATTGGAAACGTGGCTGGCAAAGATATGAAGATTCGTGTTATTCAATCCAGTACATAGAAAGAAATTGGGATGATGCTAAGGTACGCATTTGTTAAAATTCGTGATAATCAACCCAAAAGTTGTATTTCATTGTTCACCAAACTGTTTGTCCTTTCATCTGTTTGTCTGTGTGTTTGTTTGGTTTCCATGACAATTAATAGATAATACAAATACGATCATATATCGAGACCTGTTCTAAGTCAGGAACATGTTTATCAGTGGTTGTCCTTTGTTGATAAGTTATAAGTGTTTATCGTTTTTAATGTAGATTAGACTGTTAAATTTCCTGTTTGCGTCGTTTTACTTGTAATAGCTTGATGATCTAAGGCGCCGTGTTGAAGGTCGTACTTTTACGTATATTTGTTTGCTTTTTACAAATTGTGACTTGGATGGAGAGTTGTCTCATTGGCACTCATTCCACATCTTCTTATTTCTGTTTATGAACCTGTATTTTTCTTAATAGACTTTTATAAGTATGCAAACATAATCTAAAAAGTAGTGAATTAAGAACATCAATATTATATCTAGGAATTAATTCTATGAAACTGCAAGCATGAAAACAATCATGCACAATACATATGCGAGTATGTGTTAGAAGGTCGGTAACTAAGTTACTTAAAAGGAATTTACCTCTGTCTGCCAGAACTTCAAAATATAAATAGTTTTGTTTGCCTTAATCAAGATGAACTGTTGTAGTGATTGATGGTAAGGTAATGTATGTGACTTTTATATGTTATCGAATATCTGTCTTAACGTATTTTCATTATAATCAATGATATATGTGACATTTGTACAAAAAAGACGTCATTAGTAAACACCGAAAAAAGCCTATTCATCAGCATTTTGTTTTATAATATTTAATTTTATTGTTAGCTCACCTGGCCTAAAAGGCTAAGTGAGCTTTTCTCATCATTTGGCGTCCGTGGTCCGTCGTCCGTCGTCGTCGTCCGTCATCGTCTGTTAACTTTTACAAAAATCTTCTCCTCTGAAATTACTGAGCCAAATTTAACCAAACTTGGCCACAATCATCATTGGGATATATAGTTTAAAAAATGTGTCCGATGACCCAGCCCGCAATCCAAGATGGTCGCCATAGCTAAAAATAGAACATAGGGGTAACCGTTATCGGGTGGGTGCCCCTAAATTAGTAATATTAAGGAAATTTTGCAGTTTTTGGTTTTTATCTTGAATATTATTATAGACAAAGATAAACTGTAAACAGCAATAATGTTCAGCAAAGTAGGATCTACAAATAAGTCAACAGGACCAACATTGTCAATTGATCCCTTAAGGAGTTGTTGCCCTTTAAAATTAATTTTTAACAATTTTTCGTAAATTTTTGTAAATCTTCTCCTCTAAAACTACAGAGACAAATTTAACCAAACTTGGCCTCAATCATCATTAAGGTATTTAGTTTAAAAAATGTGTTCCCGCCTGCCAACCAACATGGCTGACATGGCTAAAAATAGAACATAGGGGTAAAATGCAGTTTACAAAAAATATCAGGTGAGTGACACAGGCTCCTTGGAGCCTCTAATTATATATATTTTAATATAAAGACAAACAAGTCTAAATTGAAAACAACGTTCAAACCTATGATTGCGTTGGATAAAAACCGCAATGTTTATACGTGTGCATGTAATACAAATTTCGTTGTTTTAATACAAAGATACACACTAAATCTTTTAATATAAAGACACTTCTTTTTTTAAAATGAAGATACACACTAAAAAAGATGCAGAACATTTCTATACGGTTAGCTTAATCTGTTATATCTTATTAATTGATCACAAAATTATACATACTCTTCTGTCAGGTATGGATTTAATAGGTTATTTCTGGATTGATCACTTAATATATTTATCAATTTACGAATTTGATGCAAACTCTCGTATCTATTGTATTATATGTATTATCAATTAAAGCATTATAAACCTTGGCTGATGATTTTGTTACATATAATTTTTCGACTGACTTATATGTTTAGTAATATGTGATTTATTCATTTATACACACATATCGAAATGAATATTTTCTAAACAAATGTCCCTCAAATTCAAATGTCTTTTGTTTAAGGACTACTGTAAATACAACCTAAATGCGTATTTGGCTGAAATTTAAACAGCTGGAGAAAACAACTTCTTGATGAGTATCCTCCCAAAACCGACATAAGATGACAGTAAGTACTACACTAGACTTTAAAAAAATGTAAGTTAGGGAAAAAATTTACATAACACACTGAAAATAAGATAAAGTGATAGATAACAATGTCAAAAATAGGAGAACAGCAGTCGACATTGTGTTATAATTTTAATCACTATAAAAACAAACAAATATGTGAACAAAGAAAAACTAAAACATCCAAAGAGACATATACGTACCCTAAGTTGCTGTCATTGTTTACCGATGTATCTGATAACCACAATGTTAACATTACAAATGTGAACGGACTGCTATATATTAAAACGTATCAGACTCAAATATTTTCTATTAGATATATATGACTGGAAGAATTTGACTTCGTATGATTGATTAGTGTGTTGGTGTTAAACGCCACTTTAGTTTAGTTTAGTCATACGACCGTTCAAAACAGCACACAAATTAAAGCTGACAAAGGTTAACTTTGTCTGGTCAAAATTAATGGCTAGAACTCAACATATTGTACAGATAAGGCTAAATAATACATATAGAAAAAAGAACTCAGAGGGGAAATTCATCATGGAAAGTCCCTAATCAGAAGTCAAATTCAAAAGAGCAAACACATCAAACGAATGGATGATAACTGTCATGTTCCTGACTTGGTACAGGCATTATCGAAGAACCGATCCATATGTATACAATTTTGAATCGACACTAGATGTTCCGGACAAACAGTGTTTGCCTCTTCAAGACATTACCTTCGTAATCGTTTGTTTGCTATGTTTATTGAATGTAGCATTGACACGCTGATTAATACGAATGTCGATCAAAGTATGCATATAAATCGGGATATAAAAGGGCCGGTTAATGCCGATGTCATTTCCTTTTTTGGCTATCACGTTGACTTTAGTTTCGCTGGATAACATGCAGTAAATTCAATTAACGGACCGCCATAAGAATTGATCAAGTAGACTGTTATTTATTTAAACCAATGTATTTCAGATGATATAGAGGTTTGGCTTGGTGCAAATGATTTGAAAAATGATAGACGATTTATCTGGAACAAAAGTGGCACCGAGTTTGATTTTACTGACTGGGGACCAGGAGAGCCTAACCGAGAATATGAGGAATGTCTTTCTACTCACTTATACAAAAGAGATGGTAAACTACATTGGAACGATAGGTCATGTTATTGGTGGAACTTCTTTGTCTGTGAAAAAAGGTAATTAAATAGTTCTCTCCGTGAAACTTGTATGATAGGAATGAAGGCAACAGTAGTATACTGCTGTTCAAAGGTCATAAATCGATTAAGAGAAAATAAATCCGGGTTACAAACTAAAACCGAGGAAGCACACCAACTAAAATTATAATAATTATTTATTCCAAAATCAATACAGCTTATAGGATACATACATATATAACATATATAAGAGGAAAACAACGAAACAACATAAACTCTGAAGTGCAACAAATACTAATGCCAACATACATAGACATGAACTATTTGAAAACAACTTCCATATCCCTGACTTGGTACAGGACATTCTAAAAAAAATGGTGGATTGAGACTGGTTTTATGGCTAGCCAAATCTCCTGGTTATGTTGCAATGTTAAACAATATTGATATCGCTACAAAGACAACACGATGGTAGAAAACAAAATTAAAAGTAAAACAATACTGATGTATGTACTGACAAAATATGTTAATGTTTGAAGTAATTTACCTCTGAACACACATTTTGCAGTTTTTTCCTTTTTTTATGTTGTTACATCATTGTCCTAGGACAGTTAAGGTTTGTGTGTTCACAAACATGATCAACCCCGACAAATTCGTAATTACCTTTTGCAAGCCAGAAACCTGTAATACAATGGTTGCTGTGTGTCATATTGTTTTTTGTTTTAAATATTTTGTAATAAATCGCGTTTGTTGTTTTATTGACGTTTTGCCATTTCGATACGTTTAAAGATAATCAATTTTGTTTAAGGTTTTGTGTGACATATAGTTTCTTAAATCCACCTCATTTTGAAATTGAGAGATAGTTGTCTTATAAACCATTATACCAGATCTATTTTTTTCTATAAAGTAATCGAACTTTTCACCAGAAAACCTATCATTGTAAGATCAACTCGTCCGGTTTGGGATTAACTTTATTTATCATATATAATATTCAGTAACAGTCTGTCAACAAAATACTAATATATAAGTCAAAGCCGAATCAGTCATCAAATAAATATTTGAGAAACAAAAAATGTTCTTAGTTAAATTCATTTTTTGCTGGAGAGATTAGCTGCACAGAAGATAGACCTTTGAATGAAAAAAAAAGTAAAAACACAAAAATATTGAACTCCAAGGAAAATTCAACACGGGAAGTCCCTAATAAAATGGCAAAATCCAAAGCTCAGATATATCAAACGAATGGACAACAATTGTCATATTCCTGACTTGGTACAGGCATTTTCTTATGTAGAAAATAGTGGATTAAACCTGTTTTTTTTTAGCTAGCTAAACCTCTCACTTGTATGACAGTCTCATCAAATTCATTTATATTGACATCGATGTGTGAAAAAAACCAAACAGACATAATAGGTAAAAATGACAAAAATAGGGGTACAGGAGTCAACATTGTGTTATAATCTATTTATTTATAAAATAAAGTATTGTTTGATTGATATAGAAATAATTACCTGGTTTTGTACTTCCAGCAATATCAGTGTAAATTTGAACCCAATGTTAAACTCGAGTTAGATGCATTCAGTGCTACGCGCTTAAATATTAAAATGGAGAAATTGTTTTACACAGCACAACTTTTCTCATACAAAATCAAGTTTTGGGGAAAACAAACGAACAAGTCAACTTGCTTTGCATGGTTGTGACAGCCTAGCCTATCGTGTGAGTACCAATTCTACGCATATTTTCTGTATATTTTCAGAGTTGGACGTTCAGGGTGCTAAGAATAGGATATTATAATGTTAAGTGGTCTTTACCAAGAATAAAGATATTAAAACGAACTTTGATTTTATTTACTTATCAAACCGTCCCAATAAACAAGACGGAAGCAATCACTTAAGAATAGATTCCTAGAATTGCATAGATTTGAAAAAGAAGAGAAAGATATCAAAGGAACATTCAAACTCACAAGAAAAATAAATATACTATGTTGTCATTCGTATACCATTTAATCCATAACAAACAGAATTACACATTGACTCTTTTCTATAGAGATCACTGACAATAGAGGAACTAAAACTTACTACAGATAGATCGATTCTCAAAACAATTGATGTATTCATGGTCTATTAGTATGCTATATAGCTAATAGCTATAACCAGACTTTCACCGACTTTTCTATTTATAATTCTTTCAATTTTGTATTTTGCCTCTCCTTCTACAAATGTAACTGTTTCGAATCCAGTGTAACTGAAGAGTTTTGTCTTTCGAAGAAAAAAATCTGTAACAAATTACGAGTGATTGCATTGGTCTATGTTATTAAACTGAATAAACAGCTATACAGTTTTGTATGTACGACACATGTAAATTGTGTTGAAATAAGCACATTTTTGTATTCCCTCATCGGCTATTGAACCCATAATTCTGTGACATCTATACATCTACACATGCATTGCATCCAGCGATTCAGACAACTGGCGTCAAACTAGGCTAGAGAATATATAGCTGTCGGTAGCCGAGTAAAGGTTTTTACACGTCAACATTATCTAGTGTTATTATATGACTATAAATTTTCTGTTTTTTCATTGAATAAAAGCATGGGAAGTCATCTTTGATAAATCATAATATTCACCGCAGCAAAAATCGCGAGATTTTAATATAAGATTTGGAACAGCATCTGTGTACCTAAATATAGATATTCCAAGACAACGTCGATGACGTAGGTTAATGACGTCTTGTAAGATCCCGTTTTTTTTTCTTTTTCGTTATGTTTTCGGTGTATTTTTTCTTTTCTTCTTGATTTCGGTTTAATTTTTTAGTAAACGTTATTGAATAGTTCGACTCATGCAAATAAGCAACTGCAAAAGCAAATGCTATATATTTAGTATAAAAACACGGAGCAGATTTAAAGTATCTCGATCAAATACTAGAAAATTGTAGAAGGATAAAAAGTCATATTATAAAGCAATTGTTGACTTTTGATTTCAGTTGTTGATATGATTTATCAATCCCAGAGATGAGACATTCACCCTTGGCCGTTGTCGTTGGAAATCATATCTCTGATGTTGTTAAATCATTGTATCAACGTCATTAAAGGTCAATAATTGTATATTATAATACAGTACATGATGTATTGTGGCTCAAAAATAAAATGCCTTGCTTTTCTTGTCTGTCGTAAAGAACAGTAATAATATTTACCATGCAATAATAACAACATCAACAATATGATTTCATTACAAATTTCTAAATATTTGCAATTCTGAACAGACGTTATCAATTGGATAGCCTATTGTTATGCAGAGCTACATGAAAATAACACTTTATAATTTTCTTTCTCCCAAAGAATTTTCTTTGATTATCACTTAAAAGGCAACAACCAGTGAATTAAAAATGTCTATGATTTCACTGCTTTATATAACATATTTCTGTTTTGAATATTGAATTTCTATGTAACAAAAAATGATATCTATGTTCATTTGTGAGAACAATTTTCCCTTCTGACATCATGGAAAGACACCCTCGGAAACACAGGTGAATATACATATTTGACATTTCAACTATCTTTGTGGACGTTAAATGAAATATTTTCATTTTACTGAACTGTTTTTTAAGGTAGGGTGCAAGATATTGTGTGTTGTGTAATTTATCCCAGTGCTAGCATTGTTTATTTAAGATACCTGCACCTGTTAAGGTATTTCGTCGAATATTGTATAAAATTTTCAGTCATTCCACAAAATTATGTAGTGCCTGTAACTTTGTCACAGCGTTTGACCGTCAAGATGCGGGGATTAGTTTACTATATGGTTAAGTTGGCTTTAACACAATGAAGATATTTCAAAGACATAGTTATTTTTTATACACCCATATGTGCCCATAAACAGGGGATGTTAACGACACTAACATATAAATTTCCGGATAAACAAAAATGGGAGAACTCGTGGAGAAGATACCATTATAGCAGCAAAATCCAAAACTCCATGAAAAAGAGACAACAGCGTAGCTTATTAAATTCCTCTCTACAGAAACAAAGCTACTCTAATCCTACAGGAGAGGTATGCTTTTTGTGCTCAATCAGTGGCACCCGTCTTATTACTCTCGACATAAGATGAAAAGTCGCATTCCGTGAGTGGAATTAAGTGGCTTTATAAATCTGTATTTGTTTTTTGTCGGAATAAGATGTAAGCAAAATGCGAGAAATAAAAAAAAAACAACATAAATTTTATATAAACATAGTTGGGATCGGATGATAAAGCCTTATAGATTACACAACAACTTTGTTATGAAAAAGACCAGACAGTTGTCTTTTTCTGGATATCCTGTTTACGGGTTGATGATATTTAAACCATTAAATAATATTAATTACAGTATTGTGTTTCATATTATACTGCATAGTTAATGCCTACTTTAATTTAATGTTGTTGTTTAAACATATTGACAAATTTTGAATATTTCATCTTGCATATTTTGTCATGAATGAAATCACGATACCACGTTCCAGATCTTGAAAAAAAAATTATTGTTTATCCAGAGTTCTTTATCAAACTGCAAAATCAAACGCTCAAACACATCAAACAAATTGAAAACAACTTCCATATTCCTGACTTATTTCATGAATTTCCTAATGTACGAAATGGTGGATTAGAGCTGGTTTTATAGCAAGCTATTCCTCACACGTGCATTATATTGACAACAATCTGTGAGCAAAACGTAAAGACATTATAGGTAAAAATGTCAAACATGGGGGTGCTGCAGTTAACATTGTGTTATAATCACTATAAAAGCAAATGACATATAAACACAGTTTAGACATGTACACAAACCAAATTTAAAGACAAGAATACAGAAATTGTCATAGCATAATAGGAGAATGGTGGGATTTATAAGTTCAGTTAAGTAAGTCAGCCTCATATCTTGACTTATATCTAGAAAATGACAATGAGGGTGGGCTGAAAACAAAACTTTAC